CTTATGACGTATCTATTCCCTGAAATTTTGTATTGTGTGAAAGCTGCTAGACCCACTGAAGAAGCTGAAACTGCCATCACTATAGATTTTCAAACATGCAAAGTGTAAAAACAAAATCCCTTGCCCTCATAACAGCACAAATGCTGGGTAATCTCCAACACAAAATCTACAATATTCTATTAGTGTTGAATTTATTATATATTTTTTTAGTTAGCAATTATAATTTTGTTAGTTTCTGAAATAAAACTTCCACTAAAAATAGTCTGGAGTAAAAAGTTAATAAAATCAACTGTTTTAGTAGCTAAATTATGAGACTTATTTTAAATTATTGAAATTAATTTATATTTAATTAATTATTTTTATTTCTTTATAATAACTGTAAACGAAACTCTCTCTTGCTATCTTGCTACTTTAGTAATTCAAACTTAACAAAAAATTTTTTTTAATTTTTAAAGAATTGATTTAAAAAGCTGATATACACATTCTACCTTCATTAAACTCATATATATTTCCTACTAATATACATACATACATTATATATATATAATAAATACTGTACTTATATTTCCATATTCCAGACTTATAACAATATTCAGATATAATTTAAAATAGAATGGTTCAATAAAACATAATTCAAATGAATACAAATAATGAATATTCTCTCATTCTGATCATGCAATTTATTAACATTTTTCTTATGGCTTCAATGCTTTCCAAATAAAGCATCATATACTTCTGTATAATATACATTGTGTAGTATGTTTGTGTATAATATACATATGTATTTACTTTTTAGTAAACTATTTATGCAATCCAGTCTTTGAGCCCATTGCAAACAAGTCAGCATAACACAAAACAGATATTATTCACAAAGTTAAGATTTGAAAAACATCATTAAATTAGTAGTATCAAATTAATAATGATGAAATATTCAATACAGTTTTATATTTCACAGAATAAAGTGCATTAAATTTATTAAACATTTCATTATTATTCTGAAAACATTTTAGTAGTAATAAAATTGAAAACTTTTTTTATGAAACTTATTATGTAAGATATTGTTTTAAAGTTATATAATAAAATAAAAATTTATTTGAGTTATCACAACCAGCAAAGCAACATTTTAAAACTGAACTCCTGATATATTACAATCATGATTACTTAATACCTCAACATGACATTAATCCTTTAAAATTTAGAGTTACAACCACAAAATAACTTGTAGAAAGTAAACATTAAGACTTTTGATTAGTTGCCAATGTTTTCAAATCAAGCCACATGGTGAGTAGATATTTAGACCGATTTGGCATAAGTTCTAAATTTTTTTTTCGTATAGATCGATGCCAAATTGACATTATTTTAACTTTGTTCTAAATTGCAATCTTGGTAAATGTTTTAAGAGCGGGAAAATATAAAGAATCTATTCATTTTATTTGTTATTGTCATCCCGAGTATACTTATATCTTTTAAATGCATTCTAAAATTACACATAAAATTAAAACCAAACTTAATTTTAAATGATTGAGAATATATTTATTGGGCTGCAATTTGAAAAAATTGTAGACCTATAAATTCTGCCTGTCCATCCTTAATCTCAGGAATGGTGCTAAATAAATGAAATTCAAGACCAGATAGGGAAAGCTTAAGGGCAGGAGGCATCGATTAACTATATACGAACTTCTGGCGCAAACTGGAAGTTGCGCCAGAAGTTCGTATATAGTTGATGGAAGTTGTGTTATTTCAATTCAAAAATTTTCCCCCAATGGTGTTAGATAGACGACCGATACGACTTTATTATTAAAAGAAAAGTATGATGTACAGGGGCAAGACACTACAGTACTAATTTCAGGTGGAGAGCATATATTTTAAATTAAATTAATTAAAAATTGCAACCCAGCATTGTGACGATGTCACAATAAATAATTGCTCATTTTAACTTAATTCAAATTTATCTATAAAAGAATATAACTTGATTACTCAAATTAAACAAACCAGCAATTAAATTTTAAGACTACATGAAGTAAGAGGAAACTATATGTCCATGATTTTACTTGTTCGATGATGCAGAGGACATCATATTTAATGTGACAAAAGAATGGATAATACTGAAGTGTAGTTAAATGAATAAAATGCTTTCAAACTGCCTTTATTTTGATTTTGGAGAAGAAATAATCTAGGAAATGATTTGATGAATAAAACATATGGTTTAGTTCCATAATTGTACTGTACATTTCATAATGAGATTCCTAGTAATGATTGAACATAATAGTTATTCATAGATACACACAAATAAATAAATTGGAATCTTCACAATTTGTCCTTTTTACCACTACTAAACAGTGAAGTTGATAACTTACTGCAGAAAGTATATAGTGCACATAACATTATTTCTGAAAAGAGAACATAATACAAATGCAACATACCTTTCCAATTAAATGACACAAAGATAATTTTGACCTATTCACTCATAAAAGTTGCAATGTTCTTCCTTTAGTATTACTTAATAAGAAGACAAACACAAACGGTTCACAATTCAGATAAATTGACCATTCTTATGGCATCATGGCATAAGTCAAGGGTAACTTATACAGATGCATCTGCACTTAGTATTGTATCTTGTTCATGAACTTTCTGTTTCTAGACTTCACAACATATATGGTACTGCATCTGTGAAAATATGAGTGTTTTTCAGCACAACACTACTATAAATGACATTTTTCCTGAATGTTTTGTGTCTGACGTTTTTTCTTCTGTTTCAACAATACCACATATTTTAATCTACATTCTCATATTGTGTGCGCACTTAATTGTTAAATGACAAATAGTAACAAAAAGTAACCTAATACTGAAAACGGGGAAAAAATAGTAACAGGAATAAAAAAGTAACAAATAGTTGGCAAAGTAAAACACTTTTTAGCCCGGCATATAAAAAATATTTCAATTTACTGTGACTGTATGTTTGGGGAATTTATGAGACAAACCAGAATTTTGAATGAAAAATTTTGAGGCTGGCTTATATTCCACAATTTATAGTAATAATAAATTTATGCATCTGAAATACTTTTATAACAATTTTTGTATAAAATTATTATAAAATATTATATATCTGCATTAGTATTCATGCTAACATTTTAAAATTAGTTTTAAAAAATTGAATATATCTATTTTCATTACTAAAATTTTTATATCTAGAAAGATATCCTCTAATTACAATATATATAATATACTCCACAGAAATATAAGCAAGTATTGTTAAAATGTAATCATCAGCATAACAACTTACATCATAAAATGAATAAATGAATAAGCAAATTAACAATGCTTTATTTTCCTAATAATATAACAAAATTTTAATATTTTATTTAATCACCATAGACAAATTAATTTTTTTAGTTAAGTATTAAGCTTAATTCTATTTGATCAGGAAATTCTATCCCTAAAGTAAGATGATGTCATTTGATAAAAACATTATGTCAGTCTTCCTTTCTAAGAAGAAAGGAAAATTAAAATTTGTACACTGACTACTGATAGAGAGTTCCTTTTACGATCGAACAAAGAATTGAGAGAATTTTTTATTTTAAACAATTATCTCAAAAATTTATTATTCAGGCAGTTCTAGTCACAGTCAGAATATGAATTGTTTAGTCAACCACAAAGCATTTACAAAAAATTAGTTCTGCAAATTCAAGCCTGGAATAAGATTATATTCAGAATTTCTTTTTTTTATATTTGATTAAGTACTGTCAGACAAGGATTGTTTCTTGATGCAAGAGATTTTGTAAATACTCCCTTGATAAACAAAAATGATCAATTCTGTGATATTCCCACTACAATACAGAATGAATTGTTTTCCAATGACAAGGTATGTCTATCAAAATCATGGTGGTGGTGAAGAATCAAGGCAGGTAGCAAAGCCTTCCTTATAAAGACAAAATATTTTAAAATAGTTTAATTTTTTTTTACCTTTGCTGGTCACCTTCATTGCAAATAAAAATGAAGACAAAATTTTTTCAGAAAAATATGAACATATACATACATACATACACACATACATCTATATATATATATAAAAATGGACATGTGTGTCCCTATATTTCACTTTTCAGCCAAAACTACATATTGCACATGAATGGTGTTTGTATGTGGTAGTAGCCCCAAGTCTCCATTCGTGCACTATGGTGGTTGCGTCTCGATAGCTATAAGGGTGGGGGAGATATGGGGGCTTAAAGTGGTTGACTTCGAAGATTTTCTATTTCGATTTTAAAAATGTTCGAACCGTTTTAATTTCAAATTTGTATTTGAATTCAAATTGGTTCGATTATAGAACGATTGTAAACGTTCCAGAAAATTGATCAAATTGAAAATAGTTCATTTGACTGGACGTAAAAATTCTCTAATTAGTCTGGAAACGGGGGACCTAATCCTTGCATTCTGTGCTATAAGGGTGTGGGAGATATGGAGTTGAAAAACACACACACACACACACACACACACAATGCCTGATATATTAATGCTAAACCAAATGATTGCAGTAATTAATTGGGATATTTTTTGCTACAATTAATAATTAGAAATTAAGTAATTTGGTACTAGAAGTAGACATTAGGTGCCATTTCTTATCTAAATTGATGCCTACTTCTAGTACCAAATTACTTAATTTCTAATTATTAATTGTAGCAAAAAAATATCCCAATTAATTACTGCAATCATTTGGTTTATGAACGGTGACAGCCACTAACTCTGAAAAGTTTAGTTCTATCATAATGCTGAATTTCATGAACCTCAGTACAGACCAGAAAAATCATATATACCAGATGATGAAATACAGTACCATTGACACTAGATGGGAGTCAGCAACCCCTAGAAAATTACCACCCCTGTCCATTGTTCTAAATGACAAAATTTGTTTGATTGTTTATATTTTTAGGTAAACATATAATTTTTGTGAAAACATATAATTCTTAATATTTAAATTTTGAATAATTTTGTATATTTTTTAGCCTATGTACATTATTTAATAGAGAGGTTGCAGCTGAAGTTTTCATCTCTAAAAACATGAACTTCAAACATTTAGCACTACCATCTTAGAAGTCTAGAAGTTTGACAATGACATTTGGAACATTGAGTATGGTGAGTAGAAGTTCAGATTAAACATCTGCATTTTTCTGTGTTTTGGATTAAAATTATGACATATTTTATTAAAATAATGATTATTTAAGCATTTACAGATAGCATTGTAATAAAACAGACAATTTTAATCCAGAAATTATTTAATTATTCAATTTTTTGCAAGTGAAATGAAGTGACTATAGAATTTTTATAGTTGTGTTTATAATAGCTTATAATATTGTAGAAGTAGATTTGGTCTTTCACAGAGTCAGTTACCCTCAACAGCATAATTCATTTGTAAATTTCTAAAAACAATTTCCCAAGCTTCTTTTAAATTGTCATCTCCATATGGAATTTATAACCACCACTTCCTCAACAAAAGTATCGTAGGAATCACAACACTAATTAAAGTCAAAAATAATTAGTGTGTTATTAAACATCCTATATTTTAAAATAGTTTAATTTGTTTTTTTACCTTTGCTGGTCACCTTCATTGTTCTTGAGTTCATCTGCCAATTTATAACAAATCTCACTATACATTGTGCAACATAAACATGTATCGCAATGTGTTTTACTCAGAGTTCAGACATCAGATACGTACTTCTGCTTGCTGTACAAGTTTGAAGTTTTGACTTGGTCTGCAACCTCTTTAACAGTAGTAAACTTAAAATTTTTTTACGAGGTGGACTCCTAGATCCTCTTTTCCTCCCCCAGGTACGACCATCCCACAATTTGCTATAGTCACTCCTACTATATTGGTCTAGCTACAAACATCCTCACAAAGTACAATGATTGAGGTACAGTGATCATCAAGTAGCAATGGAAAAACAATCTGTAATTAGCTCAGCATTTAGCACCATCAACTTTGGTAGGCTTTTTTCAGCACCATTTCTAATGACATTCATGCAAAATTCAAGAACTTATGAGTTTGTGTACATATATGGGGAAGTAAATATTCAAACAAACAAATCTGTGTGGTTTTTTCATTTTTGAAAAAAAATATGATACAATAATGTATCATATTTTACAAATACAATAGAGAAACTAATGAACCACATAAATGAACTACACTTAACGTGCAGTTCATTTGTTCTCCATACTCTATTTGTGTCTTTATTACAAAAATATAAATATAGTATTTTGTAGTTTTGATACTCCAGTTCTATGTACAGCAAATTTGCATTATTGAAGTTATTTACTGTTTCCAAACAAGTTAGTAAATATATAACCCATACTTCTGTGCAGCTAAAGTCCACACGACAAAAGAGTAGATAGACCCTTCCAGCTCAGGCTGACTCATATGTCAGATGAAAGGGATGGAATGACACATGGATTTGATTCAGCTGTTTTGTTTTTTACACTTTTAAAACATTTTTATACCATCTTTATCTCTGATTAATATCTCAAGTTAGATAAATATTGTATGGTTTGGGATGTTATGTTTGAGTAACTGGATGTTTTATGAGTTGCCTGTGTCATTAACATTAGTTTACTCAACCTCCAATAGGAACTACAGTGTGACAAAAAAAAAACTCTTGTGACATGTCAGTGGCAAGTTTTTCTACGAGAAGAATGGATATCCAAATTGAACAGTAAGTTAACATCAAATTATTTGTGAACCCAGGCAAGACAGCTACAAAGACATTGCAGCTTCTATGTGATGCTTACAGTAATGGAACTTTACCTCACATGAGAGTGTTTGAGTGGCACAGGCAATTCATTTCAGGTGTGGGATGTCACAATTCACAGTGAATAATGACACAAGATAAAGCAAGACAGATTTTATTACATAACTCTTGACTAAAGTAAGTTGGAGATTACTTTAGTCAATGTGCAAGTGCTTTACTAAATCGTATCTATCTATGCATGTCCACCAGTGGCCAAGTAAATAAAACCACTAAACACAAACTCATGACCAACTGGTCATGAGTTTGTGCCTCACCAATAGGCTGGCCCCATGACATTTTCCAAGTTTTCTTAATGTTTGTAATACCTAGAGGGGATAGTTTCCTATAAAAGTCCTCCAGGAAGGCATCCCCCTCAGCAGATCATTCATGTTGCCATAATCAAATCAAATCTATCTACATAGGTGAATAGGCAGAATGGGTCTTTGCTGATATGGCCTCCACATTCTTCCAATCTGCATCCTCTGAATTTTTATCTGTGAGACCAGTGTAGACACTCCCAGTGATAATATGGACATGCTGCTGCAACTCATTGTCAATGACTGTACCACCATTTTTGGAAAATCTGAAGCCTTCAAAAGAGCACAATAGTCAATGCTACAATGTCTCCAATTATGCACAGACAAGTGGAGGTCATTTTAAACATTTCTTATGAGCTATATAATTGTGTGTGTTATGTAAGAAATTTAATATGATATTATGTAATAAAATCTATCTTACACTCAACACTGTCATAACAGATTTCTCAAAAACTGCCCATTTTCAGATACATTTCTATTATTTTTTGTTATTTTCCTCTGAGTTTCTGTTGTTTGTACTGTAAATTTTGTTTTTGTGAGAAGAAATTTTCTTTTTGTGACATTTTTACGAAAAGAGCATTGTCATTTCCATTTGGGACCCATATTGGGACCACTTTTACTCTTTTAATTTTTCTAATCATCTCAGATCAGTGTAACTAATTTCTGGATAGGATTTGAATTTATAATACAATGTCTTTGTTCAGATTCTATCATTTATGCTGAAATCATGAAACTTTTCATAATTAAAGGATGACTTTTTTTTGTTTGCAAATTCAATGAACTGTATAATTTAAAAAACACAGAGAAAAGTCAGTTTTAAAAATTGTTCAACAATTCCTACATTTGTTCAGCTGAAATAATTAAAATTATAAATAAAAAATATATAAAATTATCAATTATAGATTTCAGGGTTCAAAATTTGCAGTTGTCTGGTTGTCCACACAACCAAAATTTTGTTTAGACTATCGAATGTACTTTTGAAATTGTCCAGTAGGCAATCATTTTTTTTCTTTAACTTTTTAGTACTTTGTGCATATTTTATTTTATTAAATAGTAATTAGTGGTAGTAAAAACAAAACAACCAAAAGTCTGAGTCATCAAACTCTGCTATAACAACAAATCCAATATGGTTGCCACAGAATATGTAAACAGATAACATCAGAGATGAGGAAATAAAAAATTTATGTATCAGCAACTGGAAAAAAATATCAACAATTTATGTAAACATTTACATTAATAAATTTGTAAATTTGCAATTTAAGTAATAGTTATTTGTACAAACTGCAGAAAACTGTTAAATTAAAAAAAAGTCCTTAAAAATGTATTATAACTGAATACAAGACAATCAAATGATAACTTTACTCTCCATTTCATTTAAATTAAAAATTTGATTCAAACTGATAAAAATGTTTTCTAAAACACGTTACTAAATTAAAAACACATCTTTAAGATGTATTTTGTGGCACTAATTTTTTTTTGTTTTATACAAAATAAAACACAAAGCCAATTACTGCTGTATGCTATCGGACTAAATAAAGGCTATAATATTAATAAATTACCAAACGATTTGATACTAGAGGGAGGTGTTAGGCACAATCTCTTAAAAAATTTAATAATTATAATTTTTAATTAAATAATTTAGATTTACTGGAAGAAAAGAATCAATCCAGAGTGGAACTTGAACCCACAATTGCTGCTTACTGTGAGAATGTGCTGCCAATTATTCTACCCGGTTGGCTTTGGTCATACAATGTATCAGGTTTTAATAGAGTTGTTTGTATATAAACGTCTTGCCAGGGTATACAATTGCCAGTTGAGCACCTTAAGAGAGATTTCACAGGACGAGGGTGCTTGATGCATCCCCAGTCGTCACCACAGTAACTGACGATGGTGACAGTTATATAACATTACGGTTATATCATAATGTTATATATACTGGAAGATGAGATCAGACTGGAGGTGAGGGTAGTGTAATTGGCAATGCATCCGTAAGTAAATGTCAGTTGCGGATTCAATTCTCACTCCAAGCCAATTCTTTTCTTCTAGTAAATCTAAATTATTTAATTAAAGAATTATAATTATTAAATTTATTATGAGATGGCACCTAATGCCTTCCTCTAGTATAAAATTGTTTGGTAATTTGATAATATTATAGNATATTTCTTTAATTTTCAACTCTATTAATTCTTTTATAGAATGATGAAAAAGTCACAGCATCTATCTGTATTGTATCATTTGTAATACAAGCGTACAGTGACTTTTTGATCACTATAAAATCTTATCTTTTATCTACTTATGTATTAATACAAATATCATATTTACTTGTACTGTAATATTATATTATTTAAGCATATAAAATTTCATATATAAACAAGAGAGACAAAGATTTTTTATAGAACACAGTAAACGAGTACAATAAAACTTATTCTGTTTGATAACTTATCTTCTTTTTTTATGCATCAGTAATAATTAGCAATATTTAAAGACGAACCATGAAAACATTCAACAAAGTAATATAAATTAAACACTAGTGAAAGTTAACATGTAATATTAAATTTATTATGAGATGGCACCTAATGCCTTCCTCTAGTATAAAATTGTTTGGTAATTTGATAATATTATAGCCATTATTTAGCCTGATAGTATATGGCAGTGGTTGGGCTTTGGTAATACAATGTATCGAGTTTTAGTAGAGTTGTTTGTAAGTAAAATACAGTATGTAAGCTTATTTTTGCCAGGACTGATAATTTCTCTGTAATAGACAAGTCTTCATTTTATTCAAATTCTGAATTGAAAAAGTTGTACTGTTTTAAATACAGATATTTCTGTATTTAAAACAGTACAACTTTTTCAATTCAGTAACAGTTTATCTTCTGCCAAACAGTTCATCTATCAGATTCTAATCTTCTTAAGTAACAGTTTTACTTTAAAAATTAATGGGTGCTAACACCTGATTAATAAATTCATTAATCAGCTGTTTATATTTTCATTTTACTTATATGTAGTACTGAATAATAAATTTTATTTAATAAGTATACAAAACTAGAATTTATTCAATAAATTTTAGTTTTGTTTAACTGTTAAAAAGAATTTTAGCTTGCAATCTTTAATGTGATTTTAAATACTGTAAATATCAGAATTATTTTTTATTTGCATTTTTAAATGTAATTTTAGTTCATTAAAAATGTTTTTTAACACACCAAATAGGAATTTATAGACTTACTCAATGTTTCTAAGTTGGCATCTAATGTAAACAAATAAATTGTAAATTGCCCGAGATGTTCAAGATTTTTTCATGTATAGACCTAATGAATGGCTGTATAAGGTTCACGCAATAAAAAGTTTTATTTTTTATGTAAGTATGTAATTACTTTGTATTACCTGGTTGTTTAGAAAAGATATACTGTATATACTGTACAGTTTGAACAACTGATTTCATTACAGAACAACCAGATTCTAGAGCTGGTTGCAACACTGGACAACTAGCAAATTTTCTTAACTTATAACTCTGGATATATTACCTGAAAGTGAAAAATCATTTCTTCGGCTTTCACTGTCACGAATTAAGAAAGCGCCATGTTCATTTTCTGGCAAAAGTAATTTTTTCTCTGCTTCTATCCTTTTTATCTTTCCAAAATACCATCTGTAAGAATTAGATATATGGAATTTATAATTTTAAATTTATTATGAGATTATTGTAGTAATTTATTTGTAAACTTAATAAGAATAAAAATTACGATATTTCACATCTTTAAAATTTATAAATTAGTTTAAACATAATACTATCAAAATATAGTAAAAGATTGTAATTTTCTATTAAATAACTTTAATTGTAAGATAAAAAACCTCAAATACTTAACAAGTACTTTTGACAAGTTAAAGTTGTCATCCTTGAGTAAAATTCAAAAAATAAACATTATATTAAAAATTTAAAACTGTTTTTAATACTTACAAGTATACATAAATGTGAAGTATTATAAAACTCTCAAAAAATTTTTTAATCTAAATTTTTTTTGTATAATTACTAGATACATACCAATATCAACTTTGCCAATGTACTCTACTGGCCTACCAATAAACTGGCTAAGAATTGCCAAATAATAATATTTTGTCAGCTAATAAAATATTATTATTGTGATGTATTCTTCTTCTCCCTCACTTTCCAATGAAAGTGTTTCTTTCATTGGAAAGGGAGGGAGAATAATTTGTGAATAATTAGAATAATTAGTTTGTAAGGAACCAAGTCTGAGCTTTATTTTTATTTTACTTTTATTTTGCTTTCATTATATTTTGTTTGGGGCTTATGTTTAGTTAAGACGAAGGTTTCCTCACCATTCACCTTAGTAACTTAAAAATAGAAGAAAAACCAACTCACCGACGAAAGAAAAGCGCCGTAGAAAAACTCGCGCACACTTGCGCTTCCCGAGCGGAAAAAAGTAAGTCCGCACCGACGAAAAAGGGGGGGAAGACCCCACAACCCAGTTAGGAATCGCTAAACCTTAAAAGAATAAAGCATCCCAATAATTGTTAAAAAGAATAATGTAAAAGGTTAGCGAAGTATTGTCGGAAAATAATCTGCCAGATAAACAAGAAAAATTTAATGTTACAGATAAGTATGTAAATGAGGAGAGTGATCTCATTCAGAATTGTGACGTCACCTCACACTATAAAGCCTCTAACTCAAGTGAAAACGAACGAGGTGAATTCCTGATAGCAACGAGCTTTGGTGAGCTTCGTAGCAGTGAACGAGAGAGGTGTCCGATAGGATTTTGAAGTTATTCTATTTATGGATTAACGATTATAGAAAGTCTTGAGAGTTTGAGGAAATAGGTTCCTAGTATATTGAGGTGACGATTAGGATCTTTAATTTATAAGAATTATTGTTTATAAGTTAATTATTTGATTTTGTCGAATTCCAAGGGGAATAGAATTAAGTTAGAAATAGATTGATTTGAGTTTGTCGGATTGATTCTGTTGAATTTCATTGAATAAATTATTGTTTGATTTTTACTAAATACTGTATATAGTTTATTACTAGAAGTTTAATTAAATATTTGATTTTGTTATTGACAAACTTTGTCATTATTTAATTCGGTGCACGCTTAAAGTCCAGGCCTGGCACACTAACGCGAATCCGCGTAAAGTACCTGTTAGGGAACGGCTATTTCCGGCACACAGTAGTGTCGATAATCGTTGGAAAGTCGGAAAAATAATATAGTACTTTACAAGTTACAAATCGACACCAATTTCAACATCCTCTCTCTTTGCAATCCAAAGTTTCGCTGCCCAAACACTTCTGGCATCGCCATGTTTGGTGTTCACTTGCAATTGATACTCCTCCCCCACATAGCTGCACACCTCCCACTAGTCACCATTTTAAATACGGACACAAACCTTCCAACAAAATTTAAAATTGATAGATTACCATTTATAGTTTACTCATAAATTATATTATTAACTATAAATACCAAACCAAATTTAAAGATGTGTTCAGAACAAAAAGGAACAAGAGCAACAGATGAATTGACTTTTTCTTCTAAAAATCTTATTCCCTGACTGTCCAAGTCTGTACGGACCCTGTGTACTGGATGTATCAGGTCCCATCCTTCAGAACCTGACTGTCCCTTTATGAACCTGATAAAAAAAAAATCCACTAGTGCCCACAAATAATAAATGGTAAAAAAAATGACCACAAATAGTCATTTGATCATCATTCAGAAACAATACAGAATGACCATTATACTGAGGAATAAGTACCAACAATCAGTTGTTCATCATTGAAAGAAGTTCTCATGATAAAAATAGCACATCCTATTGATTATCAAGTATTAAAGAAATATCAAAATGTATTACAAAAATAATTGCAATAAATGTTCAACATTATTTGTTAATTGAAAATAGTATGCAATCTTGTCTATATTTGGTATTATATATGGCTGATACTGATAATTATAGAAGTGCTGATAATGGCCAATTATCTGTACATCCTTAGTAATTACTAACAGTAAATATTTATACTACAGACTAGAATAAAATTAATTAATGAAAGACTCATTTTAAGAGCTTTATAAAGTGAAACCAACTGTTCTGGCAGATGTCAGGTTGAACAATTACAAGGATTCATATTTAATATATGTAATGTCTCCTAAATAAATAGCAAGTTGGAATTTGTACAAAACTGTATCTGTTGCTTTTCAGTCCAAACTGATTCTAAGAAACAGTCCAAGACAGTCCTAGTCAGCTCAGTAGTATGCCTTATCTGTGGTTCAAGGGGAACCCTATTAAATTAACACTCCTAAACCTTATAACTCCAGTAATAAGGTTTAGGAGTATATAATCCATGTTCGAATATAACTGGTTTTTTAAACCTGAAGAAGACCGAATGTATGGTTGAAAACGTTAGTTTGCTATTAAATGTTTATTACTGGAGTTATAAGGTTTAGGAGTGTTAATTTATACATTCTCCAGTATACGCGTAAGAAGATTTGAGGAACCCTATTATTTAAATAATTTTTATATTACCAGTAATAATTTTTAATCACAAACAATTTCAAATTTTTTATTTCCCAAAAACTTTATAAAATTGAATTTAATTTAAATAACTACTAAACCAGGGGTGGCCAATAGTTTTTGCCCCCAGGCCGAATTGGAAAGAAAACTTTTTTCACAGGCTGAACCAGAGGCTGCCCTAGGAATATTTTGAGGTGATACAAGATCTCATTATGGTGTCACCCTGTAGAAACTAAATTGTACATAGAGATTACAGATACATTTTTCATATTATCATGCTTTATCAACACTCTACGCCGTGCTTAAGAGATTTGTAATGGAGCGTTAACTCTAAACGCACAGTGAGTGGTTTTTTTTTTTTTTTTTTATTTAGGTGTCAGAATTTTTCATCAAGCTATTCGGACTTGAGTAGCTAATATTGATAATCGCGGGCCGCATAAATTCATTAGATGGGCCATATATTGGCCATGCCTGTACTAAACACACACTATATGGAATGTATTTACTTCACATTTATTCTTTGTAATTTGTACTTTGTTAGATATGAAAATAGAACTAATAAGTCCTGAAAACATTAATCTGTTTCTAAAGTTATGACTTTTATAAACTTTCATGCATTTTAAATTTATTTGTTATCTATAGGTTTGATTGTATGTATAGTACTGTACAAAGTGTGTTCAAAAAGTCCAGAAGTCAACATATATAAACAAATATATATATATAATAAAAAATAGGATACAACTTTTTTAAAATAACACTTCTTACCTTCATATTATATATAATAATAATAATAATAAAATAGACTCATTCTTGAAGCTTATTGCCAAACCTTAGATCAAATACACACACACATGCCTGTATGTGTATTTGATCTAAGGTTTGGCAATAAGCTTCAAGAATGAGTCTATTTTAAGTACCAGATCCAATTCAATGCTATCTGTAGAGAGTAGTAGTTAGTAGTAGAGAGTAGTAGTACTATATTCAGTAGTTTAAACATATCCAAATTTGGTATGGTAATATTTCAGTAAATGATGATGATATTCCCATAAAAAAATTAGAACCAAAACTTGCCACTATGGCACTTTTGTCACTGCAAGCAACAAACAATATTTTTACAAGACACTCATGACATGAGAAATCTTAGCAATGCAGAGGATACTGCTCAGTATGATCATCATCATATTGATGTAAAAATGGAAGGCAACAACTCACACCCCTTCACCTCCTGAAAATACTTCTTAATTAAATAAACATTTTCAGCTCATTTAATAAGCCTTCTTCAAGTTAGCTGAATCAGAATACTTTCCAGTGTTCTGATTCTTCACAAAACTGGATGAATGAATAAATAAAAACACATACCAAAAAACCTTAATGTATTGCTAGCACAGAACTTTAAGTAATTTGTGATACATTAAGTGTTTTTAGTGTTGGTATGTGTTTTTAGTGTTCTGATTTGGTTGTTAACCTGAAGAAAGCTTATCAAACGAGCCAAAATACTTGTTTAATTAAAAAGTATTGCTGGAAAGTAAAGGTGGAGTTGTTGGCCAACCATAACTGATCTTCTGTGATGTTTCTCACACAAAATTTGATACTGTTTTTGAAGCTGCCAAATTTATGGCATATCCTTGATAACTAAAACTTTGGTTGTAAGAACTACAACCAAAAAATCCAATACTGAGTTGCGTAACTTTCCTGACTGTTATCAGATTTTATTTAAAAAGTAACTTTATATTATTAATTATAATAAATAAAATTTGTTTGTGGTATCATCTCTTATGAGATTCTGTAATAAAAAAGTTTCTAAATTAATTATTATAAAATGGCAAAAGAGTTAATTTAGAGAGTAGAAATCAGTTTTATAAAAAAAACTGTAAATACTAGTAACAAGTAAAATCTTCATTAAGTCCAACCTCTGGAGATATGACACATGACCCTCTCTATCACTCCATCTCCTCAATCTTTAACAATCAAAATTTAATAGCCTCAACATTCCTTATGTGCAAGTTATCATGCCAAATTTTGTTTCTTAATCTTTATCCAGTCATGAGATATTAAAGGAAATGAATGCCAACAAACACACACACATGGAATTTTTCCTGTTTCTCAACTTTTTCAGATTCAGGGGTCTCAAAA